GCTGGAGCAGAGTCTGCCGTCTGAAGCAGGTTATATCGGGGTTTCACTTACGTAGGCGAGCTTCTTGGGGCATCGCTCGGCCACGCTCGTCCAGCAACGGCAGCCCTGATCCGCCATATCGCTTTTTCCGGTCTGCGTCTGCAACCTTTTTCGATCTTGGCGTGAGCCTTATGACTGGGTCCGATCTTGGCACATGGCAATTTGGCCGCTTTCCCGTAATTTCCTCAGCTGAAGCTATTTTTGCCTCGCCAAGCTGCCGCACCGCTGACTGAAGAAGTTCGTCTGGTCTGTCGCACAACGTTCCTGATACCGTCGTGAGAGCCTTGGAGTCTTGAGATGCAGAAATAATAATTCATCATGGAGCAAGAGGCGCGCGACAGCAGATCTCAATGTCTTTAATGGTTCAGCAGATCGAATTGAAAAGGGCCTTGGTGAGAACTTGCCGCGACTAAATCGCTGATCATCGGCTTGTTGCGAGACGGTTCGTCCCATCCAGTCTGTCAGCGTCAATCATCACCACCATGGTAAAGCATCTTCAGGCTTCCTTCCACGAACGGTGATGATGGCCCAACGCTCTGACCCAGCCCCGATTAATAACCTGTGCTGCAGGGCGGGGAGACTGACTACCTGGACTTGGGACGTGCCGAGCGTATCGCGTACTGGAGGGTTGCTTAGAGTTACTCAGCGGGTTGCTCAGGACGGTAGGCATTTAAAAATAATACCCCTGGGCTCCCAATCGAGCAGATGTGTGTCAGGCCAACCAAGGTCGTTTTAATTTGGATTCTCCGGTTAGCTGGCGGTGTGAGCAGCCCGGGTGGTGCGAACCATGATCAGGTCTTTGGTCCTTGTCGTCTTTGGCACCGATAATCTTCCGTATGCGGACTTCAGTCTCCATACCTTACCCAATGATCCTTGTTGCGGACTCTAGTCGTCGGATGCCGGTGATCCTTGATCCACGTGGTTGTTGATTGTTCTGGAGATGGTTTCAAGATGATTGTAAAGCTCACTGCGGTAAGAACTCAATGGACACAAACGTAAAAAAAAAGTTGGAATGAAATAAAACAAAAATGAAAATTGTGAAGACTGATCAAATAGTTTATTCATTATGCTAATCGGAAACCATATAGAGCACATGGAAATTAATTAAAATTTAATATTCATAGATTGAAATGGGAGCTATAGGGTAGGGCTTATATGCCCTCAAAATATCAATGGACCCCTGCACTTTGTGGGCTTCAAGCTCGAACCTGTGTTTCGCAATCATAGAGGATCAAGAGTGATTCGCAGGTGGTGGGCGAATCTTGTACCTGAGAGAAGGGGAGTGCGCATATTAAGGCGATCGTGGGAGCCGTGAGCGTTTCGCGCGCCGTCTCCATCTGGTCCTTGTCCGTCCATTCATCCCTTTGGGGGCTGATGTGTGACGATCACTACGATTGCGTGGCATAAAGCCATGTGCTCTGTCGCGTGCCAATTGCAGCGGGAGAGCCGGAAGGGGGGAATAAAGAAATGACTACTGGACTTGGTGTTTGTACGCCGCATCATTGTGAAAGGTCCGACGGACACTCAGACTACCGACGCGAGAATTTCCCAGTCAGATCATCGATGTAAGCCGCGCTGATGATAGGAATCCTCCAGCACGTGGAGTCGCAGCTTGGGGTCAAGGCTGACCAAGACACCGTTTGAGGCTCGTCTGAACTGGTTGGAATGATCCTACGAGTTGGCGTGGCTAGATGGGATGATAGATCAGCCAGCTGGGACACTTGGGACGTTTGGAGTTTCAAGCATCCCAAGGAGAATGCGAAACGTTGATATGACTACGACCCCAGGCTTAGCCTTCTACGCGTCTGGTCTTGAGGGAGCATTGCCAATATACAGACATCAGGACATTTCAACCACAGACATTGCGCATGCCCGTCCTTAATCGACCTAGTTCTGGGCGTTGGGACATCAAGGATTCAACGCGCTGCATCCTTCCAAGACCGACGAGTCTGTGGATGGTCGGCCCACGAAAACCTCAGCCATCTCGCCGTTCGGTGTCCCAGTCTTGGTACTCTTCTGTCCATTGATGTCGCGTCTCTCATGAGCATCTGTCGTATCCGCAAGCCTTCTGCCGTCGCGTCCAGACGCACTACGCTTGCCTAATAAATCTGCAACACCGATTGCATATGCCACATTGGCCGATCCAGCGCTGCGCCTTGCATGGATGTCTACGAGCTGAGCTGGGCGGCGTGTGGGGGATTGCACCGACAGCTTGGGACAGGGCGATGGCTGAAACATGACGTTCGGATCGCATCGTACCGGATCGCATCGTACCAGATCGTGTCGTTCATAGGATCGATCTTCGGCCCGTTGGGGGTGCAAGTTGTCTGTTTTGAATTAGCTTTGCCTGGGTGGACATGAACAGTGCTGGGTATAAGGGCGATTTCAATTGGACACGCTACGAATAGCGGACAACATCCTTTGGCAGCATCCTTCGGTTGGCGGTCGTTACGGGTCGAGTCGCGATGGCTTCGTATTGGAGGAGACGCGAGCGGGTTCGGGTCTCGTAAGTTGGGAACGCACGAGAGCGCCTGGGTCGGGCTGGAGACAGGGTGTCTGCCTTGGAATTGAATGGGCTAGGAGAGCTGCTAAGGGTGAGTTCGACATTAGCTTGACGGCATTGAAGGGGATGGGTGTCGCGTGGTTTGGACGCTTCCATGATTGATGGAAAAGAAGGGTCGGAGATACTTTGGTCCTGTTGGCAGCGATAAGAACGATTATGTGGCCGCACAGCTGTCAGATTAGCGGCATACCCACTGTTTTACCTGCTAACCTTACCTGTTGGTGGTGGAGATGACGCAGAAGAGGGGCAGAAGCGACGATTAATAATGCATCTCTCCATCGTTGTCCGAACATCCATGCCGGATGAATGACAAATGGTGCAGCCGTATCTAGCTTCTCTGCCTCCACCCTCAATGGGAAAGACTATCGAGTATCCATCGTGCAGCGCTCGACTAGGTGGCATGGGAATCCATCTTCGCTGGTTGATTGATAATCTCTTGACGGAAATTCCGGCCTCCCGTGTGTCATGACTAATCTGCCCCGCAGTCCCGCGCTTTCCCCGTCGCGGTCGCAATGTCTGGATTTTGGATTTAGACCTTGATGGGGTGGTGGTGTTGCGTCTGGTTGCTGTCACTATTGCTGCGGGCTGAAACTCTGATGATAAATCAGGCTTCCAATTGCGGCCGTTGCAATGGATTCTGTTGCTCCCCGTCTCCTCTTAAGAGGCCTTCGATGCGCCCGCCCAGCTCAATCGGCATCCCCACGCCTCGCAGCACTTAAACCGACCAACCCATCCAAAGCCTTTGCCTACTCCCGCGCATTCCACAGCTCCTCTCCATCCGCCTTCTCCCAGACCTCCGACCGCCGCCAGAATATGTCTCGACCGACCGGCCTCATCGCCAAGAAGGGCATCGAGCTCCTGACCTGGGGCACACCCAACGGCTACAAGGCCTCGATCCTGCTCGAGGAGCTCAAGGAGGCATACGGCCTCGACTACACCTGGCAGGGCATCAACATTGGCCAGAACATCCAGAAGGAGCCCTGGTTCCTTGCCGTAAACCCCAATGGCCGAATCCCCGCCATTGTCGACCACGACAACAACGACCTCGGCGTCTTTGAGGGCAACGCCATCCTTGGCTACCTCACCCGTCGCTACGACACCAAGAACCTCCTCTCGTTCCCCGTAGACTCCGACGACTACACTGTTGCCGAGAGCTGGATTGGCTGGCAGCACGGCGGCGTAGGACCTATGTAAGTGCTGGCAAATCTGCCCCTCCCCCACCACCGTTTGCTCCATGGAGATGAATCGGAAGCTAACATCTAAACCCTGTTCAGGCAAGGTCAAGCTGGACACTTTGTGCGCTTCGCGAGCGAGAAGATCCCCTACGGCATGCAGCGCTACGTCGGCGAGACGGAGCGCCTCTACGGCATCCTCAACACACGCCTGGCTGACCGCGACTACGTTGTCGGCGAGGGCCGTGGCAAGTTTAGCATCGCCGACATCGCTCTCCTGGGCTGGGCCAACAGCCTTGGCGGCATCGCCATCGACTACAACGGGCTGTTCCCCAACGTCGTCGCTTGGTTCGAGCGATGCACTGCGCGCCCAGCCGTCCAGCGCGGCTTCGCTGTTCCCAATCCACCGCCGTTTGGACTGAACAAGGAGAGTGATGCCGAGACGCAAGAGAAGAATGCTGCATTGAAGAAGGAGGTGCTGGCTGCCAAGGAGAAGTACGGATACAAGTATACGTCGCCCTAGGGGGATTAATGAACGTATGAGGGATATACATCTATAGATAGATAAATGAACAAATAGAGCGACATTGTATTTTTATTATACTGAATTCGCATCTACAAGAGGCCGCGACAGCTACGCTCGTGTGACTCGACTTGACTCGTCTCTGACTGCAAATCACGTCTCTCGGACCAAACCCTCGCAACGTTGCAGATTCAAGACACTCGACTGCAGCAATAGCCACCAATGATCAGCAGCTCCATGCTCTAGCGCTCTTTGCCCAATCTCCCCCAGGCACTGTCCGCGTGGGACTGGGCAATGGCGGTTTGGGTTGCATTGGCAGCCCAATCATTGGGCGGGTGGCGGTCGTGGTGGTGGACGGATTGGCCAACCGAATAATTGGCCGCATCTCTTCACCACCAAGCTGGTCGATCGAGTGTTGTACACGTGCGTCCTGGACAGCGAGGGCGATGGCCGGCATGGACTGATTGGCAGATGGGCGGAGGGCCCAAGGGCGACTCACCGCAATCCCAACATTGCAGTTCGCGCCCGAGCAATCTTCATCTTCGTATGAATTTTTCTGGGACGTACATCCATATCCTGTGCCTCCCGCCAGCCGAGTTGCATCTGCCCCCCCACCATCTCTCTCTGGGGACTCGGGGGTCCATTGACGGGTGTCGTGATAGAATATGTCCCAGTGTTCAATGTATCCCATGTCAATCGCAAGATGGCCCGCGCTCGAGACCGGAAGACGTTGAACCTCCGGCCCCTCTTGCCCAAGACGCAGCACAGTGTAACCGGCCAAGCGGACGGCATACACGTATGGAAGGGCGATTGCATGCCCCCTCAGTCTCAGTCCCTGGGCTCCACGGCCTCCCAGATCGAGGCCTCGATCGTGCACAACGGACTGGGCGCGACCGAACTCCCCCGCCACCTTTACACAGACCCAAACGCCGGGACCCTCAGTGTTGTCTCGGAAAACCCCTTCATCCTCTCGGGGAGCCTGCTTTGTCAAGATCCCCAACCTCCCTCTTCGGCTCTCCCACGCGGGGAAGGCCCAGAGGGAAGCGTTGTGTGCATCCTACCTCCAAGCTGCGACGCCCACCAACCTTCTGGCTCGGAACATGATGTAAATGATTGGGTCAAGAAGCAAGGAGAATCTTTCCCCGGGAGGCTCTATAACAAGCCTGCAGGAGAAACACCCAGACCAGCTGGCCTGCACACCGACGAGCCAGCCTCGCAGAAGTTGGAGAATGGGGATCGCGATTCGCCCGGTCTACCCACGTTTTTCCAAGACGAGATGGCCATGAGAGAGTATCAACGGAGCTCAATCAGTTCCAAGTCGGAATGTCCGATCGACAGCCGAATCCCAGACAACTCGGACCTGGCAAGGTCCAGTCATGACCCTGTCGCTCATGCAGTGCTACTACCACCACTCCCCTGTGGTCTGCCTGAACTTCGCCCGGGCCTGGATCGCATGTCTTCTCCCGTTCGGAAGAATCCGCTAGTTCCCGAGTCAACGACTGGGCAATCGTCAACCAGACCTTCCGTTTGGGATGAATCCTCCCTCGCCTCCTCCCTCGCCTCCTCCTCGCTACCTCGCACCAGCATCTACGGAAGCACGCCGTCGATTGCGTCGTCTAGGTACGTTCCCACATGCCCTGCTCACCCTGACCTAACCTAGGATATCTTACTGACGGAGAGTCACACGCAGAGCCAGACACCAGTGCGAAGAGTGCGACAGGGTGTTCAAGCTCGGCAAAGATCTCAAGCGCCACATCCAGAGCGCCCACGTCGACAACCCAGAGTCGTACATGTGCAGGTGCAGCTACCACACCACTAGGAAGGATGTGATCAAGCGGCACATCGGTTCTAGCGCCAAGGGGTGCGCGTCCGCTAGGCCGGATGCCGTCGATGTTTGCATCTGCAAGCGCTTCAAGACGCCTAATGTACTTTGCTTTCTGGAGCATATCAAGGACTGCAATAAGAAGCCCAGAGGTAGACCGAAGAAGAAGAAAGAAATTTAATATATTTAAAATAGAAGAGGCACGTTGACGTAGGCTATGATTTGTGCATCGGAGATGGCTTTGACGATCTGTTGGCTGGTTTGTAAGGTAGACACATCCCTGTGCCTTGGATGTTGGTGCAAGAAGGCAAGCCAGAAGACCCATCAGGTGTCATCTATAGAACATGGCCTAATTAATATAATAATCAAGAGAGAGAACCGGTTATGGTTCTCAACTTGGCATGTACATGTATACATGTATCTTTTGACTCTATGTCGATCATACGATCTGCGTTCCTTGATCAGATCAACTCGATCATCACTGAGCGTAAATCTGTAGATCGGCACGATAATAATTTGCAACAATGATAACATATTAAGTAATTATTAAATAATACTTACTATTACATACCTAATAGGAAACGTTGTTATGTGGCTAGCTGCTACAATAATTTTATGGACGTGACTTTGCAGTCCCTGTTTTTCTGACAGCCACTTGATGGGATCCTGAGCTCTCCTCCAGGTACCTACCTTGTGGTTGTATGTATTAGACATCCCATCAACTCATCGTATACTTGTCAACGATTTTTTTAATGCATACTGTCCCGGCGACAAACTTTTCTGTTGCTTCTGAATATGTCGAACTCAATGGGTAAGTTATTGGGCGTGGTGAACGTCTCCATTGATTTCGACGCAGACGCTGGTTGAGAAGTTGAAAAGTCACAAGAACCGTGTTCGGACGCTACAGAGTTTACAAACTGAGCTCGATGATCTTATAATACATTTCAGAGTTTTTGAGGCGCGATCAATCATGTCTTCCACCTACCTACTCCGATTCATGGAGGTATGATGAAAGTGTAATTTGGCTTTTTCATTGTTAACTAACGGGAACTTTCAAATTAAACTTCTGCAATGACGAACTCTACCGCTAGAATGTCCCTGCATGATTTGGGCTATATAAAGCCATGTTTGGCCCTTCAATACGAGACGCGTTCTTCATCAGAAAGATTCACCTCATTCGCATATCCACCCCTTGGTCGCCTTCTTCTCAAGGTGAGATAAATTCCAGCAATGGGTAAAGCTCACGGAATACCTGAGCTCAAGTTTTTACATGAAATCATTACAGGTACGCTCATGACTTTCATCATGTATATTGCATAGCTAACATTCCCAGATGAAATCACACCCTCAGATGACTTCGCACTAGCCGAGCGATGCGCAAGAATTCAGACAGAATGGATCAGATCTCGCCCAAATGATTGGAATAAATGTGACATGTCAAAATTACCGACTATAGAGATCCATTTTGAGTCATATGAAACAAAGAAGCCATTCTTAAGCCGGCTGCTGGGGCGACAGCAAAAGGGAGCCCAATGGCGAGCCGTCATGAAAATATGGACTTGCAATACTCCTAGACTCATGCGCCAGGGGGTTTACTGGGGCCCAGACGATGTCAATGAGGTCACTGGATTTGTCCGGCTGGACGACAACCGCCTTTCTCGTGCTTGGGGATGGGGTGGTCGTTGGAAGCACATGCGGGCATATAACATCCAGCCACCAGGCGACAAGGTGGAATGGCACGGCAGCCTATACGTGTTCACACAAGAAGCTGCTACTCTGGCTCGATTTGATCTCAGCTGTATTACACCGGAGACGGCCGTGAAGATGTCAGCAGACAACTGGCAGAAACGACTTGTCTACCTTGCTGATAGGCGTCGACCTGATCTCAGCTTCAATACGATCTTCGGTTCGATGCCCTTGAAGGGCTGGTGGATTTGGCCCAAGGCCGGGTCATCTATCAGTGAACGAACAACAGTGTCTTCGAGCAACATGGCATTGGAATGTCCGAAAAATAGTCCAACAACAGATCCCAACGGCATCACGGAGCGATTCATCTTGTTCGTGCGCATCGATAGAGACTTGCGGGCTGCTAAGCCCTATTCAAAAGTGGACGAAAACGCGTGGCCGCTCCGATGTTGAATGGGCAAGCGGTTCGTGCTGGTGACGGGATTTTTTACAGATGCTCTCATCGGCGAAATGATTCCAACGTAAAGCAGAGTTGAAGATATACCATGGACTCACGGCAAATACGAAAATAATAAAAAACTTCCAAATCGCGTAGATTCTGATGAGCAACAGTGATCTGACACGGGTTTTTTTACGAGCTTCATGTCGGTGAGATTTACACAAATGAGGAAGTTCGTGTCATCATGGGCTCCAATTCTGGCCCTCCGCCTTCCGGCCCGGGTCGCCCCTTTCCAACAATGCGCCTGTAGATGACCGATTGATCGTGCACAATCAATGGGAGAATGTGAGCTGAAGAGCGACAAAGGACAGGAATTCGAGGAAGATGGGGCAATTCAGGCGGGACGTTGGTGAAACTCCATTACTGGTCTCGTCCTCTTTTGGGCGGCCGACCGTAACAATGGATGATATAGAGCCTCAATGTAGGCCAGCTGGATGGGTACGATTCCAGAGCAATTCTCATCTGGTCTCGAACATCTGATCATCTAGCCTTATCGCCCGCGCGAGGTATTTACTAGCACCCTCTACTCTGAGCATATTTTCACGCTTGTAAACGAAGGCTGCGAGAGTAAAGTGATGGATGGATCTTGTCGATGGTTCACACCGGGCCAAAGGTAGTGTGATGATCTAGGCTCATTGGAGCGATGCAGTGCCAGCCAAGAAGATGGCCAGTCTTGGCAATTCACTGGACCCAAGGCGACGGTGCCGATAGGGACAAAGCGATGTTGTAAATTTAGCTTGGTTCTCTGAAATTTACATCATTGGTGGCTATTTGGGGAGTGTCTATCGAGCAGAGCCACGACCTAAAGCCAGCCCTACCGAGACAGGCCAGCATAATGGTGGCAGTGTTGATCCGTCACTGGACAGACCCTGGTCCAAGATCCATATTCATGTACGAGTATCCATCCAACCTTATGCGGGGATCTCGCGTCGAGGCGAGCTAGCTGAGTGAGCGAGAGCCGGGGTCAGTTTTAACGGAGGCAAAGAGTAAGCTTGAATTTTGGCTCAAGCCTCAGAGAATGGATGTTGGTGCTAGACGAAAGACAATAACGAGCTTAAAAAGAAGCTCCAGCGGTGCCTCTTGCTTGGAATGAAGCCAAGGGACCGGGCAGTGTCTTGATTCAGCTGGTGAATAGTCTTGTCGACTACTGAATCAACAGCTCCCGGGGCCAGGCTAAGTTTTCAGCTCCAGGCACACTTGCAGAAATAGGCGGGAAACGATGGGCCGGGTGACAGCTTTGGGCTGAGTGGCTTGGTCCAGACTTCCGAGCTCCAGACGGCATCCAGACCAATCACGCATGACAGCTGCCCTCGCTCCCTCCTTGTGAGGGCTGTTTTTTCATGCACAAGCCACCCATTCAGAACGATCAAGGACTTGTTGTCTGGGAAGAGCACTCTTTTGCCTGGGAACCGCCTTGTGGGCTGTGCTGGGCCACGTCTTTGTTGCATCTCTCGAGGCGGGTTCGCTTTGTGCCGGCTTTTTTCTTTTATCTTCCCATCTGGATCTAATAATTACCACTTCCCCAAAGTCCTCTGATCTGTGGCACCCGCTGATCCTCCACTGATTGCTCCGTCGATCAATTGACCGGCAAAACCACACACCGGCAACGTCCACCCACATCCCGTTGCCATGGTCGTCTACCCGCCATACACACCGACAACTGTCGTGCAAGGCAGACGGACCCGATGGTGGGCTGTCGTCCTGCACTTCGTCCCGATCGCCTGCACCGTGATCCTCGCCTACATCAACTTCGCCCAGCTCTACTGGTTCCCGCTCACCGGCATCGACGGCCGTGACCGCGGCTCCTATATCGGCTCCTACAACACCCCCGTCAACGGCGTCCTCAACTCCCTCCAGCTCGCCGCCAAGCTCTTCGAAATCTCCGTCGTCGCCTCCCTCGGCACCCTGATCCTCGACATCTTCAAATGGCACTTTGCGCACCAGGGGCTGCCTTTCTCCCTCCTGACGGGAGCCTACAGGGTCTTCGATGTTATGTATATTCTCCGTCCGCGGTTCTGGTCGGCCGCTCCCCGTGCTGTCTGGCTGTCGGCGCTGCTCTTCCTGTGCGTCCTTCTCTGCGCACTCGTCGGTCCCGCATCCGCTATCCTCGTCATCCCCAAGCTGGGATGGTACGCCCTGCCCGGCGCGTTCTCGAACATGTACATGCCCGTGTTTGTTGGGAAGCAGGAGGCCGTGTATCCCACCAGCCTCAACGCATCGCTGTTTGACGATGCGGCTCTCGGGTTCTGCAGGGGCCAGCTGGGCAGCTACACGAGCAACTGTCCCGCCGCGGGCCTGTCGACCATATATGACTGGGAGTTCGGATGGACGTCGCGAGACCTCCCCAACAATGTCACGTTCGGAGACTCGTCCGGGACCGTGAGCCGTCGGCTGGACATGTGGTCCAACGGGCTGAACGGCACTCTCTTCACCAGCCCGACCGCCCTGTCTGTCGGGACACTGGGCGTGCTGAACAACTACATCGCCGCCGAGAACGTCGGATCCATCTCCCAGACAAAGGACTACAAGATCCAGGTGACGGCCAAGTCGCAGTCCTTCCAGCCACTGATCCAGGCCAAGTGCAACATCTACAACCGCAACGACTATGCCCAGGTTGCCGACATCCCGGCCATGTCGTTCCCGAATACCTTCAACTGCTTCACCAGCGACTCCACCGACAGATGCCAGCGTATCCGGACCGAGCTCGGCCAGCTGATCCTCCCAAGCGTGGTCTGGGACAGGGACGACATCGACACGCTCTTCAACGTCGTCGGCGGCAAGACAGTCCAGAACGCCGATCTGTCCTTCCTCGTCTTCACAGCCAGGCTCCCGTACGTCCACGAGGGCAAGCCCAGCAAGAGGATCGCAACGTGCAGCTACGTGGCCCACTGGCTCCCAGCAACCCTCATGGTCGACCCGAGCAACAACATCAGGACCGAGTCCAACGTCACGGACCTGAGCATCTTCTCCGGCCCCGATCTCCGCAACGCCAGCAGCCCGCGCGTCGCCGTCGGGTCGTACATCAACATCGAGAAGACGTGGCTGCCGTTCCTCGACCTCAAGGCCGCGCCGTCCAGCAACGGGAAGAACTACACGGCCTTCGACAACATGGCCTACCTCCTCAACCCGATGGTCGGGCTGGGCCTGACCTCGGACCACCAGATCTTCGCGCCGGGCAGCTCGAGCAAGTCGACCAAGGACGGTGACAGGCAGGTGCAGCTGGCGATCGAGAAGCTGACGGGCACGATCGTCACGGACGCCATCGCCAGGACGGGGGCGTCCATCAGCGCGGCTGTTGCGCGGCCGGGGAAGAGTCCCAGCGCGAAGAGCATCGTCGTGAACAATTTGAAGAATATCCAGGGCCAGTCCAAGGACGGGACCGAGTTCTTCGCGAACGGTACCTCTACGGGGAGTATGCAGTGGCCTGCGGGGGTGACGACACTCGACGGGCTTATGGATACGTGGAAGGAAGAGTATCAGACCATGTACCTCGACGCGGAGAGGTTCGGGTACGGGTACGGGAAGTCGGGCGCGGCCATGATCTTCGCCATGGTCGTCCTGTTCCTGTATGCCATCACGGTGGTGGCCTACGTCGTGGGCTTGATCATCACGCGGGTGGACATGGTCCTGGGCCTCAACGACATGGAGGACATGGTTGCCCTGGCCTGGAAATCGGCCTCGCCGGCTGCGGTGATGACGCTGGGCTACAAGTCGCTCAGCCCGTCGCTGGCGAACGATCTCGTCGCCATGAGGTCGACGATGAACAGGGAGGTGACAATGGCGTTGGAGCACGAGGAGCACGAGGGGAATGTGTTTATGCTCGGCAAGGATGAGGAATACTTCTAGTTGTTTTTGCTTGATTTGTTTCGGTTGGCGTGGCGTTCTGACTGCTTTCTACATGGCTCACGACATAACCCATTCTGATCTGTCAATAGAATAATCTGATAGATATATTTGATACCATAATTTCCCTTTACTTCATTCAATGCTATGAATCATACTGGAAACTCCGCCATGTCTCCGTCATTGTGGCAGAATATGCCAACCATCTGAATCCTGAATCAAGTCAATGGCGGCAGAGAACACCCAACGCGTGTCACAACGTTGAGCGAGCGTCGCGACCTGCAGCTGCTCGTCTCTTCGGACCTGTACCTCCAAGTTCTGAAGCCCTACCGACACCTGGATCGGCCTGTCCAGATCCAGCATCTCGTCATTGAGCAGTATCCGGAGGATCGTCCTGGCCTTTTCGATGGTGATGCCGTTGGATGCAGCGTCCAGCCTGGCGACGATGACCTCGGTCCCCAAACTCTCAGCGGTCTCGTCGCCAATGTCCAGCCAGTACCAGAGCCCCCGGCTTGTCCGCGCCGCCCGCGTGGTGAGGTCCCAGACCACCCGCGACGGCAGCGCATTGCGCGTGAACTGGCTCACCCACGCAACGGCGTTCGTGTCCGTGAGATGGGCGCTCGTGTCCCCCTCCTTGAGCCACCGCCGCGGCGAGTCCAGCACGGGGTAGAGACCCCTCCGGGGATCGTTGTCGACGAAGCCGTGCGGGCGCCCCTTGTGGATGAAGACCTGGTGCTGGTACTGGCCCTGGTTCACCTCGGCCAGCACGTCCAGCGTCTCGCCCATCTCGGCCGTGGCGCTGTTGCGGTTGTACGCGCCGTCCCGCTCGCCCATCTGGAGGCAGATGGGCGTCGAGGCCATGTTGGCGAGGCTGACCCAGTTGTGGTGCCCGGCCGACATGTTGACGGCGGCGAAGCGGTCTGCCAGCCGCGGGCTCAGCTGGTAGACGCCGTCGCCGCCGGCCGAGTAGCCGAGGAGGTAGACGCGGTCCGAGTCGACGTCGGCGAAGAGGATCATGTTCTCGATGAGCCGCTCGAGGAGCTTGTACGACTCGGCCTGGAAGTGGAGGTCCCACGTGTTGGATATCCCGCGGACTGCCACGTACACGCCCTGCTGGACGCTGGAGCGGTAGTAGTCCTGCATGCCCTCCCACGCCTCGTCGTTGACGTGGGCTGGGGCGCCGCCGCCGCCGTGAAGGGCGATGTACAGCGGGAAGCCCCTGGGAGGCGCCTCGCCGATGGTGAAGGCGGCATATCGCAGGGTCTTGCTCTCGATGGTGATGGCGCTCTGGTCGTGCTGGATGCGTCGGACAGCGTCAGACTGCTGACTGGGGTCGAAGGGAGGCATCTTGGGCAACAGTTATCAAGGGCGATTGATGATTGTTATTGCTAGAGAACTGTCCTAGTCTCTAGGCATCTGTGTCGTCGCAGCATTGATGTCCAGAGCACTTTTGGGACACAAGAAGCGCCTCTGGAACGCAGCATAAAGGTGACGAATTGCCATCCGAGGCCGTGAATTAATTAACGAAGCACGTCCCATCACTACGGTGGAGAAGGAACCTGACCTCAGCCACCGTTAATCAATGAACATGCCGCAAAAGGACTTCGCCGAAGGTCGATTTGAGGCGGAGAGCAGGGGCATTTTTTTTTTGTACTGGAAGGATGGCTGGTAGCGTTTGTGAGGATTGAGACTAATTGATTGAACACTGAATGCCACCAGCCATCAAAGGAGAGAGCCAATTATCACACCGGCTATTCACGCTTACCTCGGATAGTTGAATGCGAAGAATGAAGATAAATTCGTGAGACCGAAATACTTGATTTATTTAAACTGGACTTCCTGGTGTCTCATAGACCCGCCCTTACCGTTGACCAGCTTGTGTCTACATAGAGAGGAAGGGTAACGGAGCTATGGAGGTCAGCGAGTTTGGAAGGTGGCTTGAGGTGCATCATAGAGCGGAAGCCATATTGGTACATAAGAAGTTATTGGCATCCGGTCTTCTGCATTGCGGTCATTGAGGCTGCAGACGGGCAGGATAGAGACTCCTTAAGAGCGATATTCTGCGAGATTGTTGACTCATGCATCTTCTCAGACTCGGGGCAGCCGATTTCTTAAAGAAAATGAAGACTTTGAATACAACGAGAGCTCTCTTCCCGGAGAAAGCCTACACCTGTTCCGCTTTCTCAAAAGTTAGTAGCGCTTTAGGAAGCCGCACCGCAGAATGGGTGTGTAAGTGAACTTGAGTCCCGCGAGAGGCCCAATGAAATAGGATTTCATAGAAACATGACTAGAAGGGTTTGATGTATGACTGTAGGCTCATTTGATCAACCGGGTCTTGTGATTTGTGAGCCCAAAACGAATTTTCTTCGGCGAGAAATTGGGACAAGATATTGCTAGCTTTCAGCGTAGGGATTTGCCGTGGAGTGAAAGTAGGGATGTTCAACCGATCTCAGTTTTAGAGCCATTGATACCAGATCCATCGTGTCGTCGGTCTAGACCGACTCGATAGGAGTTTATTCAGATGCATGCCGGGAAATGGATTACAAATGTGTATACTAGGTAATGAGTAATGTTTTAATTTCATCAGTATGTAAAGGCTTTAGGAAACCTGGATTGCTGGAAGAAAACGGAGTTAGCGGAGATATTTTGGCGTCAGGAACATTCTGCACCGGGGTTTGGGACAGAAGGATGAATTCAGCACAATGAGCTACTGAAACGGATTACAAATCGTAAGAATTTGGTCGATTTAGTAGATTTTAATCCTGGGCCGGACTTTTGCACATTTCCTATGTGCGGAACAATGAGATTCTCAGAGTAGGTAGACAGTTAGAAGAGTATATACATAATCACACGAATCATTCAAACCAACAACCATTAATCTTCTGGCTCATCATCAAAGAAACTATTATTCAATTTCAACTAACGCAATGATTCTACAAAAATTTCCCTTTTTTCTGGTGGCAATCGGGCCCCTGGTTGCCGCAACCTCTCGTTGCTCGGAACACAACTCCTCATCGCCGGTGAAGACCACATCTGGTCGTTTTCTACCTTACTTTTCAAGCGAACACCCTGAAGTAGCATCATTTCTCGACATCCCTTTCGCTGAAAGCCCCTTGGGACCACTTCGGTTTGCACCACCTGTTCCTCGCATTGCAAACAACACTGAGGCGGTGCTTGCCACCCAGCTGCCACCTGGCTGCTTTCAATATGTATTACCAGCGTTGGAGGGCACCGTGGGATTTTCAGGAAACCAGCCACTGGCGTTCCAGCGTGGAGATTATAGAAACACAAGCGAGGACTGCCTTCGCCTGTCAGTTTTTGCACCTAAGCTTGTTGGAGAAAGCCAAGCTCGCTCGCCAGACAACTCTAACAGCAAGGGTCTTCCTGTTCTGATCTGGGTTCATGGAGGCGGTTACAGCATTGGGGGAACCAATATTCCCTACCAACTCGCTCACAACTGGGTCTCGCGTAGCCAGAGCCACATCGTCGTCCAAGTTCAATATCGACTTAACCTGCTCGGATTTCCAAACGCGGCCGGCATCGAACAGGAAGGCCGTAACTTGAATCTGGGGCTTCTGGATCAGAGGCTTGCTGTGGAATGGGTGCGAGATAATATTGGTCGCTTTGGCGGCGACCCCAGCCGCATCACCCTCTGGGGCCAGAGTGCCGGAGCTTATGCTACGGATAGTTACCTATATGCATGGGCCAAAGACCCCATCGTGAGCAGCGTCATTGCGTCCTCCGGGAATGCCGTTACCGTACCTCTCTATAATGTCGACCATACAAACAACGCACTGTTTTCCGTCGCCGCAAAGAGTCTTGGTTGCGGCAACCTTGCACCAGCCGACGAGCTTGCTTGCATGCGTAAGGTACCATCCTCAGACATTCAACAATATTTGCAGGCAGCCGTTGGCAAGGGCGGAGCCGTAGACGATGGTCTGTTCTTTGGAACTGTCGCGGACAACGTGACCATCTTCCCCGAGTACAAGTCCCTGATACAACGAGATAGTGGCAGATTCCCCTCCAACATTCCACTCATGATTGGTACAACCACTGATGAGGGTACCGCCGTGGTCCCTTTCAATTTCAACGGCAGCGAAACTGCGTCTGAAATTCCCGCCGCGTATGTGCCTGTTGCAGACGGCTTTAAAATCAACCTCCACTGTACTACGCTGCAGGAAGCCCAGCTCCGAGCTGTGGCTGGTGGCAAAACATTCCAGTACATGTACGGGGGCAACTTTTCCGACATTTCGCCCCGTCCCTGGCTGGGTGCATTCCATGGTTCTGAATTGCCCCTTGTATTCGGGACGTACGGGACCGAAGGCCCTGCGACGGATCTAGAGGAAGCAACGAGCCAGCGTATCCAAGATCTCTTCTTGGCGTTCATGTCTGATCCTAATAGAGGACTGGTAGATCTTGGTTGGCCGGAGGTGTCTGGGACTACGGGCTATGACATACTCAAATGGGGAACAAACGGAAAGGTCGAACAGGTGGTGAGCGTAAAAGAGCTACGGGAGGAATGCTTGAAGGCTGGTTGGGATGTCTGATCAAATCTTGGACAAAGAACTGATTCCTCGTCTGCTATAATATGAATATCATAGAAACATAGAACGCCGCTACTTACCAAGTAAATAATGAAGCGAGCGGCTAAATATATTTAGATATATTCCTAGCTTCTTGAGTAGTAACTTAGATAGAGAAACTTCACAATTTAAAACAAGACTGATAAACGCTGTAACTAATCCTCTTGGAACTCAGATTCAAACGAAGGAATTAGCCAAAGAAATGTGGCATACTCAGTGTAGATGCTCTGCTTACTCGTCCTTAGGCGGTACGAGCTCACTGAAGACAATACTAGCACCAGTTGAATCACCTGTCGTGCCCCTCTCCTACCTGAGAGGCAACTGATCTAATTTGAAGGCCTCTTTGATCTGACTATGATAAGTCTTGACGATGGCTCTTCTGTTCAATTTCTCTGTAACAGTCACAAGGCCCTGCCAGATGGAAAGAGTCAGTGGCTAGATCATCCACCTGGGGCGAAGAGTTCAACTTACTGTAGCAGGAGTCCACTCTTCGTGAGATATGACTACATTCGCTATGATCTCGATACCAGAAAGACCAGCATCCCAGGCAGTCAGCCGGAGATCATGAAGGATCACTGATTGGGCGTCCTGACTCAAGTGCAAATTAGACTCGTTAAACTTGCACCCGCTGGGGAGGTCTTGCGCCAGGTCTATCACGACCCTTGGGTTGGGTATGACGATGGCAATAGGCCGAGGGTATGAGTCCTCCGCGTGGACCATGACATTAGACACTGAATGAGCACTGCGGTAGATTGCTTCGAGCTTTTCGACGGCAATGTATTCGCCGCCTTGCATCTTGATAAGGTTCTTCACCCGATCAATCACATTGAGATTGCCGCTTCTGGCATCAAACTCGCCGATATCTCCTGTTTTGAACCAGCCATCTGGAGTCACGGCTTTGGCAGTTTCCTCCGGGTTGTGGTAATACTCTGAGAGAACAGGCTTCCCCTTGATCCATATCTCCCCCTGGGGTGTCTTACCAGTTGTGACATAACCCAGGTCTGGAATGGAGACCAGCTTCAAGTCAATGGAAGCAGGAATTGGGCCAATTGTGTTGCGTGAGTATTGGGATGGATTGGTCAAGGCGCCGTTGGCGCACGACTCGGTCAGCCCATAGCCAACCAACATAGGGGCAAGAACAAGAGACAAAAATCGTCTTGTATCTGGGGCAATGCCACTGGCACCGTTCATGATGTACCGCAGCCTACCGCCAGTCTTTTCTCGGATCGCCTTGAACACAAAGTCAAGCAGGGAAGCTCCGAGGATATTATTATCGACCATGAAACCCTTGTAGTAGAAAGCGCCCCAGAAGATGCCCCGGAGGACAGAGCTGGTGAGGCTATTGACCTGGCCAATGATGCCCTTCTTAATGGTTTCCCAAACTTGAGGAACACCGACCAAGACTGTGGGCTTGAGCTCCCGGAGGTCGCCTGCGCAGTTTCGGACAGAGGCGTCGGCAAGAGTACGAGCACTGCCGTATCCCAAAGAGCCGCCGATTAAGAACACGAGGTTCTCAACGACCAACTCAAATATATGCGCAGATGGGAGATAGGCCAGAATGCACTCATCATCACCGACCCAGTCCTCAACGCAGGAAAAAAGACCAGTGACTGGAGACATGAATTAGATGGATTTCGTTCTTTGAGAGAAGGGGGAAATGTCACATACCACCGGCGACGAGAGACTCGTGTCTGATTGAAACACCTTTAGGAACACCTGTAGATCCAGATGTGTACATAATGCAGTATGTCTCCTCGGGCATAGGTGGGTAAGGTGTTGCAGGATTGTCCTCACCCAGCTGGCGGAGTTCTTCGTAAGTAACCACTCTGAGATTTGGGTTGTCTCTCTTGAAAATGTCGACTTCTGTATCGCCACCACCGAAGATGCATTCGGTGTTCACAATGACAATCTTGATCTGGGATTTACGGATGGGCTTCTGGGCCTTCGCGAGCAAGTGTGCATCAATGTACATGACCGTTGCATCTGTTTGGACGAGAGAGTGTGCGAGGCCTTCCTCCCCGAGAGTGTCATAGGCGGTCACGAGGCAAATGGACCGAGAGGCGCATGCATGTGCTAGTGACATCCAACAAACACTATGTTGTGAACAAAATGAGCCTTATTCTCTAGAAATTGGCATCTCCTTGGAGCGCCACACGAGTTGAGACATACCTGGTAGTAGCAAACATGTGTAGTTTACTGTGGCGGGGCATCCCCAGCTTGTGAAGGCCAGAGCCCAGCTGCCGAACGAGACGGTAGTACTGCTCGTAGGTGAGAAATTGATAGGGTGAAAGCTCAAAGTAGTTCCATTCACTCTCAACCTCTTGGAGCTTCCCGTCTACATCCCGCATGTTCACCTTGGTCACGTTGTGAATCGTGATCAGCTTTCTGCTACCTACAGCCTTGCGGTCTGGATAGAGCCGAGCGCTTCGGCTGATCAGGTCCCAGACAGTACCGACACCCTTGGCTGGCCTATCAATAAGGCCATCCTTGGCCTTGCGGTTACGGCGAGGAAGGGTCTCTCCCTCGACCTTCTCATAGCCAGGGGACGGGATTGTGAATGGAGGCTTCTGCATTTTGTTGACTTCGACGGGTGGCTCGTCGCTGATAGACGGCAGGGCGGAGGGCTAAGGCAATGAAAGAGAGGGGTGACCAGAGATGCCTGACTTTATTTTGAATGGCTTTGACCTGGTGGTATCAGAGTAGAGAGGAATGCCAATAAGTTTCTAGCACTTGTGGAACAGAAAACGGCCCCGAAGTCGTTTGAATAATGAAGGCCGTGGTCTAGTACAGTCTCAACTTGTGAGCAGCTCTTAGAAGTGCAAGCTCACGAATGAACCTCGGTAAATAGCCTCTCTAGATGACTATGATAGGCCACAAGCAACATAGGTTGGGGCAGGAGGTTTCCGTGACGTATAGCAACAGAGTTTCATAACAATTTGGACATCCGAATACCTTGGTCAGACCGATTGCCGAGATCAGGTTGAAAAAGGCTCAGCCCGGTACTTCCAAAGTCAAAATAACGGAGAACACAGTAAGCGCCCTATCTCAACACGATAGAATACGAGGTTAGATAGGACATAGTGCGTGGATCAAAGATCCTGACGAACCAAACAGCAGCCTCAACGCTTTACCATGCCGCCGTCGCTCCTGCAATGAAACGTCCATCATCTACTTCTTTATCACCCAATATGTGGCATGTGATTTGATCCAGATACCCACTGGTGATAGGCATGTTGAGAGGTCCAGATAGGGTGCGGCGAGCTTCTCAACCGCCTGATTATGACACATCAAGGGATGCCTATCAAGGTATTCCGCGGAAAAGACGAATCCTCGTGCTTCTACAGGTCGGGCCAACAATCTAGGTTCAGCTAGATACGCAATCGGTATTCTGCAATGTAAGCGCATATTCGAACTGTAACTGTGGTGTTGGGCACGGCACGACCATTTAGGTATGCCTGCATGCATTAATATTGAGTCGCACAACAGCGAATACAACATCGGCTACGCAACCGCCCAAACTATCTTTCCAGTGATGATAAACAATGATCCTTCCTTGGTCTAGATCTCCCCGGATGCTGATTATCAGCCAGCAACCTTGCAGCTTGGCGTGGTGGCCCTCCAACTCAGTCCTGATACGCCACCGGTTACGTCTGAAGGATGAGACAACAGCTGAGTCACATTAGTTCCCGCTCGTCTCCATGTGTTGCAACCCTGTAGTTCATCGGAAGGTTTGTTCCTACGTTGATTACCTACTTATTTCGGAATTGGTGGCTTAAGTGGCGAGTCTCCCATCCATTCTGCCGACTATTACAAGTTTCTCCGTCTGACTGGCGTTGTTTCGTGGTTTTCATTGGATGGTGATGAGCTTTTCAGCTGCGGCTAAGACGCACCTTTACCGTTGTGGCGAAATTCAAGGGAGATATGCATGCACGCAAGGCAAGCCACATATCGACACATCATAAATATTCTGTTGGGAAGGATTGCTGCACGTTGCCATGCAGGAAAAGGCGGCATCTAGCATCTGTGATTGGAACAACATGAATGTTGAGAGTATTGTGGGGATATCTTTGAAACCTGTGCGCGAGTGAGTGGCCGGGACTTCCGATGGATGGATGGGACTGTTTCCAATAATATGTAGAGCAACCATATAATGCAAGTAGCTGGGGATAGGAAGATCAATAGGCCATTCATGCAAGAGTACGGAAACAGAACCCTGGTTGACTCCTGAGACTTTGATTAGCACTCCATAGTTCATCGTGATGCGAGGACATGTTGCCAAGACCGTTATCATGCGGCATCATATCAGTGTAGAGTGGGAAGTGCGGGGTTCCGTGATCACTCCTCGAAATCGTCATAATTCTCCTTTGAGTATAGTAGACATGTAGAGTGCAGCTCCATGCAGATCTCCGCATCAGAGCCTATCTGAGTAACAAAGGTGTTTGTTTCCAAGCCTTTGGGCCGACCACCGCACCTCAAACTGTACCCATCTCGTTTCTGATCTGTAGGTTGGTTGTTGGATGCTGAAGTCATCATGGTATCTAGCTCGTAAACCGTTATCATTGTGGCGTCGATTTCTGATACATCGTCTGCCGCTGCCTGGGCCGACGTTGCTAGCCTAATTGCAACCTGCACTGGCACATAGCATGAAGCCAATGATATTGTTCGGAGAGCGGTTGCAGCTGCAGGCCGTACACCCTAATGGATCGTTCACTGAGAGGGTATCTCAGAAGATCCCAACACCCTTGTCCATGCATCTAGTCGTTCACCGAGTCTCGTTCTCAGCCGATCGTTCTTATCAAACTCGGATGTTTACTCCAACTGGACCAATCGGGAGATAGTCCGACGAACTATTTGACTGCACGGCATGCAGCTGAGAACGCCTCCTTGTCTGCATTATCAATGCATTATCAAGCACATATACGCTTGAACGAAGTCTACTTCTCAACACGACAGTCGACATTGATGCGCGATATGAGACATGTTTATGCCCAACCAACCGGATTCGAAACTAGACTGTGGCATTACAGATACGAGGTTCGTGCATATGTGCCCATTCTATCGTTGATGGTTGTGTACGTGCTCGCCAAGGGAGTACGACGTTATCGGTTTCTGTGCTGAGAGATCGCGCGATAGGTTGTGAAAAAGTTCCGGTTGTGGAGAAGTGATGTATGAGTTGGATTGCAACTGTATCGTTACGTTGTCTCAACTCACGACGAGAACTGGGTTTCTGGAGAGACTTTCTCTCTGCATTAGTTCGCAATCTGTGCCGATGTTCCTTGTAGGGAGATAAGAAGGTTCCATCTATGATTGGAAACTCCAACTTGCTTGGAAGGCTCGTTTATCTCAATGCATGGTGATATGGTGTTGCGATCATTCTGATGTAAGGTGAGGGGGATGCATGGATGATCGCGCAATGTGAAACCATATCCAATCAACTGCGCATCGGTTGGAATGAGAGTGCATGTTATGAGGTATATTGCGAAAACAGATGCAACCATGCATCACATTGATAGGATGATGTGAACTTAGACGAACATCGGAGAGTAGATAGGGAGAATTCACATCAAATACAACTACCAACGAGATCCCCTCGAAAAAGTTGCTTCAACCTCTCCAGAGATTTGAACTAAACCCACACACATCCAAATACGATACTCTGAAAATCTCTCACCAGCTCTTTTTTCCCTTCTTTTTTTGTAATTTCTCTCTATAAACTTCATTACACCTATCCCTTCACTTGCAGGACTCACAGTATCATGGCTCCATACCTGGGCTCAACCCCTTCAACATCCTCGGTATGTCTCGATCACAAGTCACTGAAAGGATAAGCTAACTCCCAATTCAGGACTCGGGATCACCCATGATCCGTGAGAATGGACAGGCTGATGATGCCATGCCAATCGCCATCTGTGGCATGGCACTTCGTCTCCCAGGCGGCATATCTACCCCAGAAGCGTTCTGGGATTTCCTTGTCAACAAGGGAGACGCGAGAGGACCTGTTCCTGAGTCTAGGTACAAAGCATCTAGCTTTTACTCCAAGACTCGCAAGCCAGGCCATGTCGCCACCGAATATGGCTACTTCCTTGATGAGTCTGTAGACATTGGAGCTCTTGATACGAGCTTCTTTAGCATGCCCAAGGTTGAAGTTGAGCGTGCAGACCCACAACAGCGTCTTCTCCTTGAACTCACCCGAGAGTGCTTTGAGAGTGCAGGAGAAACTGACTATCGTGGCAAAACTATTGGCACATATGTCGGATCCTTTGGAGAGGACTGGCTCGAGCTCTTCGTCAAGGATCCTCAGTTCAATGGCACTTACAAGATCACCGGATATGGTGACTTCGTACTTGCCAATCGAATCTCTTATGAGTATGACCTCAAAGGTCCCAGCATGGTGATCCGCACAGGTTGCTCATCGGCTTTGATCTGCCTCCACGAGGCCTGCACATCCATTCGATACGGCGAATGTGACTCGGCTCTCGTGGCTGGCACCAACCTCATCATGGCACCAGGACTCACCATTTGCATGTCCGAACAGGGCGTCTTATCCCCTAACGGCTCCAGTCTTACTTTTGATGCTGATGCCGACGGATACGCTCGTGGCGAGGCTCTCAATGTTGTCTACATCAAGCGACTCGACCATGCAATCCGCGATGGCAACCCAATTCGTGCTGTCATCCGTGGAACATCAAACAACGCCGATGGCAAGACACTCGGGCTCAGCGTCCCAAGCTCAGCATGCCATGAGGCTATGATCCGTAGAGCCTACAAAGTTGCTGGTATCGAAGACATCACAAAGACTGGCTATGTCGAATGTCATGGTACCGGAACAGCAGCCGGTGACCCCATTGAAGTATCTGCAGTTGCCAGTGTCTTTGGCGACAGTGGTGTCTACATTGGCTCCGTCAAGCCCAATGTCGGCCACTCTGAGGGAGCATCTGGTCTAACCTCCTTGATTAAAGCAGTCATGGCTTTGGAGAATGACACGATCCCCCCAAACATCAAGTTCAATAAACCCAACCCCAAGATTCCGTTTGAGGAGAAGAAGCTCAAGGTTCCTGTTGAACCTACTCCGTGGCCGGAGGACAGGGACAAGCGTGCCTCTGTCAACTCTTTTGGCATTGGCGGTGCGAATGCTCATGTAGTCATTGAGTCGGCCAAAACTTACCTTGGCATGACTGACTCACCATGTGAGGGTGAAGCATTGCCAGACCACCCACAGCTTATGCTATATTCCGCCAACACAGCAGATTCATTAAGGCGACAAGTTGTGCAGAGTCAAAAATACCTTGAAGAATATCCATCAGCAGCACAGGATATTGCCTACACACTCAGCTCAAGGCGTATCCATCTACCACATCGATCTTTCTCAGTCGCGGGTAAAGGGGTAGCAGCAAATACATCGCCTTTCACGAAGGCTCCCTCCTCATCAGCTGATGTTGTCATGGTCTTCACTGGGCAGAGCGCTCAGTGGCCTCAGATGGGCCTTGAGCTTTTGGAATCAAATCCTGTCTTCAGAAAATCAGTTGAAACTATGGAGCAGGTACTCCAAAGTCTACCCGACCCTCCTTCCTGGTCGCTCATGGAAGAGCTCTCCAAGCCCGCGGAAACAAGCAACGTGAATACTGCTTGCTTCTCCCAGCCTCTGTGCACCGCGCTGCAGGTTGCCCTCGTTGATGCATTAAGCGAGATTGGCATCGTGCCTTATGGTGTTATTGGACATTCTTCTGGTGAGATGGCAGCCTCATACGCCGCTGGATATCTTACCGCCTCTGAGGCCATCGTTGCAGCCTACTACCGCGGCGTTGTTTCCTCAGAGGTAAAGAAAGCTGGAGCCATGGCTGCAATCGGCATGGGAAGGCAAGAGACGGAGCCTTTCCTGATTCCCGGCGTTGTTATCGCTTGTGAGAATTCGCCCTCGAGCGTTACGATATCGGGTGATACGGAACCACTGGAGCAAGTCCTGGAATCAGTTCGCGCAAAGAATCCAGACGTTCTGGCTCGAAAACTGAAGGTCCGGACAGCCTATCATTCCCATCACATGAAAGAGGTTGGTGAGAGATATCACAAATTAACCTCTCATCATCTCCATGACATCCCGAACGGCAAAGATCACAGCGTCCCCAAGAAGAAGGCAGTTTTCTTCTCTACTGTTTCTGGAAAGCAATTTGCTCATACCGATCAGCTGGATTCAAGGTACTGGCAGTCAAACCTTGAGTCACCCGTGCTGTTCAACACTGGCCTGTCGAATCTTGTCGCACATCACGGTGCAACTACCAAGGCGAACCTCATGTTCTTGGAGATAGGCCCCCATTCAGCATTGGGCGGCCCAATTCGTCAAATATTGGCCAAATTCTCAGCCAATTACCCATACACGTCATGCATCATCCGCAACAAGAATGCGAGTGAAACATTCCTCTCAGCTGTTGGCCAGCTCTGGATCCAAAACGTTGATATCGATTTTGACCGACTGACCAACCCAAATAACACTGCCCAGGTTGTCCCAAATCTGCCCACTTACCCTTGGCATCACGACAACTCGTATATGTTTGATAATCGCATGGTAAAGGAGTGGCGTTGGCGCAAATTCCCTCACCACGAACTGCTAGGTGTCCGTGTCATTGAGAGCACAGAGAATGAACCTGTCTTCCGGAATGTCATCTCACTAGCAACTGTTCCGTGGATTGTGGACCACAATATCAAAGGGGATGTAGTATTCCCCTGTGCCGCATACGTGGGCATGGCTGGCGAAGCAGCACGGCAGCTTTGTGAGGGAAATTTCGAGGGTTTTGCCCTCCGTAACGTGGTCATCGATACAGCCATGGTTTTGACAGACTCCAAGTCAACTGAGATCATCACCAGCGTACGCCGGGCGGCACTCACAGACAGCCTTGACAGCGTGTGGTGGGACTTTGTTGTAAGCTCCTACAACGGAACAACGTGGATGAAACACTGCTCTGCCCAAATTTCCGCATTGACAGAGTTATCAACCTCAGAACGAGCAGAAGACGCTAATAAGCTTTCTCGACATGTGGAAACCAATAAATGGTACCAGGCTCTCCGTACAGTTGGAGCAAACTATGGAGATGATTTCCAAGGCCTGTCTAACCTATCCTGCTCCACAACTCAAAATTTATCCAAAGGAAGAGGGATCCATACTGTTAAGGACGATGGAGAATCATCCTACTGCGTGCATCCCACGAAGTTTGACTTCTTCCTTCAGTTGTTCAGTGTGGCAGCTACCAATGGCCTAACACACAAACTCAACAGAATGAATGTTCCTACATACATCCAAAGTGTTGAAGTATACAAGTGTGATTTGGAGATCGACATGGCTATCAAAGCAATTCAGACTCGACGTGGCCTTCTTTGTGGTGATGGAGAGGGCTTCGGAACTGATGGAAAGATGGCAATGAAGATGACTGGGGTGAAACTTAGTCCCATTGAGGGGGCTGAAGCATTTGAGAACCCGGATCCCCATGCTGGTGCCAGAGCGTTCTGGAGACCGGATATGGACTTTGTCAACTTTGACTCTCTGATTACCCCTCATAAAGAACAACAGCAATATTTGCAGCTCTGTGAAGAGCTGAATCGTGTCGTCATCCAAGAGTCACTTTCCAAGCTTGAAGGTATTTCGACAGACATTCCCCATTTCCAGCAGTTCTTGGAATGGATGAAGAAGCAGCCACAACCAAAGCCCGATAGCTCTCGGGAAGCTCTTGAAGGTATTCTTTCAGCAACAACAATGGATCCCCTCGTGGTGGCCTTCAGGGTAATCCTTGACAATATTGTCCCTATGTTCAAGGGTGAGGTTGATCCTGTTGCTATCTTGATGCCAGACGATACGTTGGCCAACATCTACAATTATCTGGATCGTTGTGACCGCAAAGAACTATTCCAGACACTTGGGCATTCAAAGCCCCAGTTACGGATTCTTGAGGTCGGTGCCGGTACTGGTGGCACTACCAATACCCTTCTTCACAATCTGACGAACTCTGAGAACGGTTCTCTTATGTATTCCAGATATACATATACAGATATCTCGCCAGCATTCTTCGGACCTGCCAAAGAACGTTTTGCAGCTTACCCCAATATGGACTTCCAGGCATTAGATGTCACCAAGGATCCGATCGAGCAAGGATTTGTGGCAGGCTCGTATGACCTCATCGTGGCCGCAAATATTCTCCATGCTACTCCCAGTCTCAAACAAACGCTCACCAATGTGTGCAAACTACTTCATCCGGAAGGCCGGTTATACATGGAAGAGCTGTGCTCTGACGTGAAGGCTATCAATTCTGTCATGGGGGTTTTCCCTGGCTGGTGGCTCGGTGTAGATGACAATCGTATCGACGAGCCTTATATTTCCCCCGAGAGCTGGCACAACAGCCTGATCGAAGCCGGTTTCGGTGGCCTGGAGCATGTAGCTCTCGACTGTCCGCGACCAAATCACCTCATGGCTGTAATGACAGCTAGACCGGCCGTCGAAGCTCCACGACACCAGGCTGCCACTATTGTTTATGATTACGGGACGATGGAGCTTGCAAAGAGCCTCTCAAGACAGCTTCAATCTGAGGGTTATGCCATGGACCTACATCTTTGGGCTTCAGGGCCGCTGCCTAAGGATAAAGACGTGATTGCGGTGGTAGACCTTTACAAACCGTTCTTTGAGAATATTAGCAAGAGCTCTTTTGTGGCCCTTCAAGAATTTCTATCAGAGGTTGCTGCCCTAGAAGTTGGTCTCCTCTGGCTTACACGATCTTCCCAGTTCAACTCTCAGGATCCTCGCTGGGGACAAGTCATCGGTGCCATGAGAACGATTCGCGGCGAGCTGAATGCCGATTTGGCTACTTGCGAGCTGGATCAGGCCACTGCGGAGAATCTGTCTGCCGCGGTCAAGGTGTTCAAGAAATTCAATCACCGTCGCTCAGAAGAGCTTCTGCTCCCCGAATTTGAATACGCCATCATAGAGGGAGTGATCCAGATTCCCAGACTGTTCCCCGTGTCAGTCAGCGAGGAGCTGCGCGAGTCAGAGACAGAAAATCGGCCGGAGGTGGGCCACGACCTGAGAATCGGCAAGTTTGGACGTCTCAACACTCTGGCGTGGACTGCAATTCCCGTGAGGGAGTTGATCGATGATGAGATTCTGGTTGAAACGAGGGCTTTTGGAATGAATTTCAAGGTTTGTGCAGCGACCCCATGGTCAAAATACTCACGATATAGGATGTTTACTGACTCAATAACGCACAGGACGTGTTGATTGCCATGGGCATTGTCGACGCTCGAGTTAAGACGACCCTTGGGATCGAAGCATGTGGTATCGTCAGAAAAGTTGGCCCGAATGCCGGAGATCTGAAGCCAGGCGACAGAGTTTTCGCATTTGGAGAAGGCTGTTTCTCGACTCACTTGATTCTACCGCAGAAAGTCTTTGCCAAGATCCCCGATTCCCTCAGTTTTGAAGATGCCGCTACCATGCCTTGCGTTTTCGCCACTGTCATTCACGGACTTCTTGACCAGGGAGGTCTTCAAGCCGGGCAGACAGTTCTAATCCACTCTGCTTGCGGTGGTGTCGGGCTTGCGGCTATCCAAATAGCTAAGATGATCGGTGCTGAGATCTATTGCACCGTGGGAAATGAAGAGAAGGTCCAGTACCTCATGTCTACATTTGGCATGTCGAGAGACCGCATTTTCAACTCGCGGGACAAGTCTTTCCTTGCCGATGTCATGGCAGCAACAAATGGCCGCGGAGTTGATATTGTCCTCAACTCTTTATCCGGTGAACTGCTGCATACGTCGTGGGATTGTGTGGCAGAGTTTGGAAAGTTGATCGAAATCGGTAAACGTGATCTCGTCGGGAACGGAAAGTTGGCATTGAACGTGTTCGAACTCAACCGAAGCTACCACGGCATCGACCTTGGGCACATCATGGAGCTTCGAATGGATGTTGGTAACAAGTAAGTGCCCTAATGAAATTCAAATCAATAGTAATGAGCGGAGAAACTAATGACTGTTCTCAAGTTTACTCAAGAGAGTTGCCAAATACTTCGAAGAGGGCCACATCAAACCTATTCGTCCCATCAAGACTTACACAGCAAACGAGATTGAGGACTGTTTCCGCTATATGCAGAAAGGTCAGCACATTGGCAAGATCATTATCACGCTGGACCTTCCAGAAGGGAAATCATTGGAGACAAGGCAGGCAGCTCGTAAGATTGACCTGCAGCCCTACCACTCTTTCTTGCTGGTCGGTGGCCTGGGCGGTTTGGGCCGTGCTGTCTCTAACTGGCTGATTGAGCACGGAGCTCGCCATTTAGTCTTCCTCTCGCGCAGTGGAGGCGAAACTGCGGAAGACAAAGCCTTCTTGGAGGAGCTGCGCAGCCAAGGCTGTACTGCTTCTGCGATCAAGGGCAGTGTTAGCCGAATTGCCGACGTCGAGCGTGCCATTGCGGCGGCCGGCAGCTTCCTCAAAGGAATACTCAATGTCTCCATGGTCCTGCGGGATCAGAGTTTTGCAAACATGTCTTATGAAGACTGGGTTGATTGTGTTGAGCCCAAGGTTCTCGGGACTTGGAACTTACACAACGCAACTGTTTCTCGTAAGCTCGACCTCGACTTCTTCGTGCTCTTCAGCTCCATCTCGGGAGTCGTGGGTCAACGCGGCCAGGCCAATTACGCCGGTGCCAATACCTTCCTCGATAGTTTCGTGCAATATCGACAGAGCCTCGGACTGAATGCTTCAGCCGTCAACATTGGTGTCATGCTTGACCATGGCTACGTCGCTGACAACCCCATCGTGCGCGAGCGCCTTTTGTCTCAGGGAATATACGGCATTCGAATTGCCGAGATGCTTGATGCGATCACCGCCGTTATCATCGCACCTCGTCTAACTACCCGCGAGCGCTTGTCGAATAAACCGTTTGTTAGCAAGAGTGAACTACTCGTCGGCATGCGCAGCACCACACCTATGACTGATGCCTCCAATCGTGTCCCCTGGAAAGGCGACCGTCGAGTAGGTGTTTACCTGAACAGTGCCTCTGGTGCTGCAGGGTCAAGCTCGTCCGCAGCGTCGAGCGAGCTCTCCGTGTTCCTGTCGCAAGTAATTGGCAACCCTGGTGTTCTCTCAGAAGCTACCACTGTCGATTTTGTGGCCATCCAGATTGCCAAGCAACTCATGATGCTTCTGATGAAGCCTGTAGACGACGACACTGAAATTGATGTCAACAGCACTCTGCAAGAGATAGGCTTTGACAGTCTCGTGGCAGTTGAGATGAGGAGCTGGTGGAAGTCATCATTTGGTACAGATATAAGCGTACTAGAGATGCTTGGAGTGGGTAGCCTGAAGGCTTTGGGCCAGAAGGCGGTCGATGGGCTGAAGGAGAGATTCGGCGAGGCTGAGAAGGAGGATGATTCAGGCGTGAAGAAGTACACGCATGAAGAGGTTTTGACGACCAAGATGCCGTAGTCGTGAGGCTCATGTCTTTCTTATTATCGTCTTCTTTATTCTTTTGGGTCTAATTATCTCCTCAACTTTCTTATTTTATCCCCTTTACATTCTTTTCGAGGTCCCCCATCATTCTTTACCACATTACCTGTCAGGTTACCTCAGGGTTGATCAATTATTTTTTGCCGAGGAAGCGCAGATTGTCATATAACAAGTACTACCTTTCATTGTACGGCCATGGGTGTATCTGATTCTTACATGTGAAGTGTTTGCCTAAGGTTAGAATTCGTAGCAGCAACGCATGCGTATGCTCATCCCCGTGAAATGCCCAAAATCAGGTGGTCATACATGTTCTCAACAAAAAGGATGGCACGGTCTTTGGGCTCCTGCACGCCCGGGCTCAGCTAGCTGGGAACCGCCTGTAAGACAAAAGGGACTTAGACGTGCAGCCGGCAATCTCACTGATGGTGTTAGGTGTGGCCGGCTATGCCGACTACCCTCACATCCAATCGGAACTGAGTCAAGCAAACATGTGAGCAGGTTACACAGACCGCGGTTTCGGCTTGTAAATTATGCGCATGTGATAGCATAGGAATAAAAGGATGACACATGTGTGAGGGCGGGCAATCTGCCCACTCGATACCTTGATTCTACCTGTACGAACCTTATATGGAAAGCTTGATCAAACTATCAGACCATCATAAGGCCTTAGAACCATCTGTCAGAGCTATGAAAGTTTCAAAGCAGGATTATGTCTCCTCTGTTTGGAGAGACGGGATTTTCGGTAAGTCGTCGTCTTGCCCGGCCCCCTACTGTCAGTCGAGTCCTTCTCACGTCTACTTCCCACAGACGACAGGGTGGTCTTCTGCACCGGTGGTGCAGGCACAATCGGGTCTGCTCAAGTTCGTGCTCTTGTTCATTTAGGCGCCAATGCCTGCATTGTTGGGAGAAATGTCGAAAAGACCCAGCAGATGGCAGTCGAGATAGAAACGGCCCGTCCTGGGTCTAAGGTCCTCGGAATCGGCGGCGTGGATGTCAGAAACTTGCAAAGCCTTGAGAAAGCCGTTGAACGTTGTGTAGGCGAGCTAGGCGGGATTGACTACGTGATGTAATTTCTACAATACTCCCTCTACCGGTGGGATTTTGCATTGCTAATGATTGAATTAGTGCTGGTGCCGCGGGGAACTTCCTGGCTCCCATCAGTGGCCTCTCCTCAAATGCTTTCCAGACAGTCGTAAACATCGATCTTATGGGCTCATTCAACACTTTCAAGGCTACGGCTGAACATCTAGTTAAATCAGCGTCTAAGAACCCAAATCCGTCCTCCACCACTGGCGGAAGGATTGTCTTCATGTCCACAACTTTTCACTACGCCGGGATGCCGTTTCAAGCACACGTTTCCTCCGCAAAAGCTGGAGTAGACGCACTCTCAGCATCCATTGCCTTAGAATACGGCCCTCGAGGTATCAACTCTAACGTGATCAGTCCTGGGGGTATCGGCAATACTGAAGGACTAGAGCGTCTGTCAAGCAAGGCGACGCGTGATACGGGTGAAGCGGGCGGTGGAGTCCCGCTTGGCAGGTATGGGCTCGTGCGAGAGATCTCAGATGCAACAGTCTATCTATTTTCAGAAACAGGAAATTATGTTAATGGGCATGTTCTCGTCGTAGATGGAGGAGCTTGGCGAATGCCGGAGCTCGTGGGCAGCAGTGGAGGGATGAAATACCCGGACATTGTGCTCCGCGACTTCAACCTGGCTTCAGATATCAAGACAGGCCGAGATACACATAAGCCAAAGATATGACGGAAAAGCTAGCTAGGGTTCCTCAGTTGCCTTCGAGATTTCAGATGGGTAAAGGACACCTACATGCTGGATATGCCTACATAGATTTGCTCCACCGATCTCCTGTTCTCTCTTTCCCTGCCTACAATGAAGCATTCGACAATAAGGGATTCAAGACAAGATGATTGCATGAAGCAAAGTCTTTCAGACCATACCCAAGATTCTTTCCTTCGGAAAAGCCGGATCTTTCCATACTACAGCATTCGCAAGGAGTGCCTCATACGATTGATTGTTGGCTCCGTCAGCAGTGCGATCACATGAATGTATCTGCCCAACAGATTGCCGATTAGGAACACTGGATCGGGTAGCCCGAGGCACTCTGTTGTGTCTAATTTGTTGGGGATCATGCAGTGCGAAGGCTGATGGTGGTAGTGAGCCGGCAGTGGCGAGCTGAAAACTTGGCCACACAACAATATTTGATGTACTGCAACATCCACTTTGCCAAGGGACGGCTCATGCAGCTGATAACTCTAAACAATCCATGAATCTTTGGGCTGAGCATGCCTGATTAGCTTTAGGGTTCGGCAGAGCATCGAACGATCAAAACAATTCCCCTTTAGATGGAAGTTGCATTGATATCGTTCACTGGGGTATCAGTTCTCCCACCGACAGCCCGCATCAAACGTATCTCTTCGAGTCCAGGCCTATTGTACAGAGTAACATCGGATCTCTTGTTCAGGGGAACTTTTCCCCCCTCATTCACAGTACTTGTTGTTATTGGAGACACGTGGTTATGACTCTCCAGTTGACCTTGGGTATGCATATGAACTGTATTATTTTGATCATGTCATCTCGCATCGCCGATAAGACACTCAAGGGCCTAGGCTTAGCACTTTGTTATAGATCATCATGTAACATACCGAAAACATGCTCAAAAGATGAGTGGCTTTTCGGCTACAAAGCATACTAGACACGGTCATTGTTTTAGACTATGCACTCGCTCTCTATATGGGTTAGAAGCGGGGTCGTATTTTCAATAAATCTCATACAGATCAATGCTATCAGAAAGAGGATCGGAATCCGACTAAAATCGTCCGAGATACATTGAACTTGGTGTCTCTAGGAGGAAATGAAAACAAAGTGGGACATCCAAGTCCATCCGGCGTCGCTCTGTCGCTTCGAACATAGAACTTAGGTGTTTGTGCTTTTGTCTTGCCGTAAGCAACGGATATGATATCCCGAGATTAGGATACATACGTGAGAACTTGTGTATAAATAATCTCGAAGCCTCTCTGAATAATCGATTCTGCATCAGAGTCCGCATACAATTCAAATATTTAATCCCTAGCTTGACGAAACCTGAATCCTGGCCTGCCATGAAGCTCATCACTCTCCTCTCTGCGCTGGCTGTTGTGCATACCAATGCGCTCCCAAGAACACAAGAAACTGGCAAGATATCCGTTGAAGTTTCAGAAGAGGTTTCACATCTCGAGAAGCGGGGGTTTCTCAATCAAAACGATCTTGAAGCCGGACCTGCCTCTCAATGCCCAGAGGTTATTCTTATCTTTGCTCGTGGCTCTACTGAGCCGGGTAACATGGTATAACTCAATCTTCTCTCACGCAATAACGCATTGTATTCATGGTTTATAGGGTCTTATGGCTGGTCCCGCCCTTGCTGCAACATTGGAAGCCCAATATGATAAGATCTGGATTCAGGGCGTTGGTGGCGCATATACAGCACTGATTTCTCCCAACTACCTTCCGAACGGGACAAACCGCCAGTCTATTGATGAGGGCAAGAGACTCTTCCAACTGGCCCACATCAAGTGTCCAAAGACTCCAGTCGTTGCAGGCGGCTATAGGTAAAGTACTTCCGAGGCGTGAAAACATATGCGATAATCGTCTAACTTGTTGTAGCCAGGGAACAGCTGTTATCTGGAATGCAGTCTCTGAGCTCGACCATGCTGTCAGGAATAACATTGTGGGGGTTACTCTATTTGGGTACACCAAAAATTTGGAGAACAAGGCCGTGATTCCAAACTATCCTCCAGAGAGGACGGCAGTGTTTTGTGAATATGCCGATGCAGTCTGTATTGGAATCATGATTCCTATACCAGCTCACTTTTTTTATGCGGATGATGCCATCGGAGCTGCCCCAAGGTTCCTGACGGCACAAATCGCAGCCTATGTGCCCCCGCAGTAAATCTCGGTGGTTATCTGGGGTGCTAAGTTTGGATCCAGCCTGATAATGCTACTGGGTTTAGGCCTGGATTGAATGTGCTTATTATACTCTGTAAGATAGCCTTAATCAATTCATAATTTGGCTATCCAAAATACACATGTGTATACGGTGTGCTATGTATCTTTCGTTTGGAGCGCGGATCTCTCCATCCTGCAGGGCCTTACATGACGGTGTTCCTTCAATCTGAGACACCAGACAGCGGGTGTGAGAGGATGGCAAGCTATGAAAAGTGGAGGACACTCACTCTGCACTTGGAAGTCAAGCCCGCTCTGAGCGAGTGCCGAGCACAGCGGCCGCCTTCTCCATTAATCTACTTAGGAGGGGGGTGTGAAAGCTGGTCGACGACGGTACATTGTATAGCCTGGAAGGGTGGAGACTTGGCTAGAACGAGGTTGAGAGAGAGCAGCCCCTAATTCATGCACAAGAAGGGGTATGGCATGATATTCCCTTTCTGATTCCCTGTTTTCTCCCCCTCGAATTCCAAATCAAAGGCCCACAACACCTATGTCCTCCTATCAACTAAAAAAACGCTAGTGAGAACAATCTGGTGGCGGTGACAAAGGCTTACCTGATCTGAGTGAGCAAGCCTCTCATCATCATCAATAGGTGTCAGCTTCCTCGGTGGCAAATTTAAAGTCATGTAATGTGAAGATAGAATCTTATGGAATTCTGAAATTTTGCTGATATGTATGCCTCCTACCTCCTGGATGCGGTATTAAAGCGGCGTAGTTGCCACGACGAGGAACAGATTGACGAGAGGTGACCAAATGCGGAACCTCGTATCTATTACCGCATGTCTGGGATTGATTGGGTGCGACCAAACAAAAGAGAAGATCATTTGCCGCGTGACGAGGTTGCATTAGTAGCTTTGCAAAACCTTGCTGCCGTAAAATTGAGCTCACTCCTTCTCGCCGTACGCGTCTCTAGGTTGCATACGTATTGTGACTACGAAAAGGGGGGATAACTAAGTAACAGAAGATACCTAGGGGAGCATACACTATGGAAATTGTCTCGGGCTGTGTACGGAGTACTGGAACTCGAAATCGAGGAAGGGTCTCGTGTGAGGATGGTGAGAGCTTTCTGTCTTGTGTCCCCTGGAGACTACGCAACGTTTTACCATCATCGAAGCCATCAAGACCACTACAACTTTTAACACTCCTCTGACCGTTAAGAGCCCTGTATTACAGCTACAAGTACTAGTTGTAGAAGAATAGGGACGGCAAGTCTTGTACGGCTATCTTGTTTGCTTTGTATCGGTTTGATGGGGGATGTTGAGTCGGTTGCTTCGTGAAAATGTCGCTCTCCGCATGACGCCGCAATCTTGGTACGCGATCTTGGGTAATTAGGAATAGGATTACGTCGTGTGAGACAATTAAGCTTCACGTCAACCCTAATCCTCTTCTTGTATTCTTATTGATGTCGTGACGTTCTCTTGAATCGGTAGATCGACGCGGTTCTGGAAGTGTCAAGCGCCCACTCGAGTCGACGGTCGTTTGTTTACCAGTAGATCGAGATTTTTTGATGATATCGAATGACTTTTTGCTACACGTCCTTTTAGCGAAAAACAAGTTCAAAGAGGTCGTGATATTGTGTTCGGATGTAGGCACGAGTTTAGAGATTGTTTCGCGTCGGACTGGACTTCATCGGCCGTACTCGGTAGAGATGAGAAAAGCCGCAGAACGAATTCTGCTCTCGAATTTATCTTCAAAGTATATGGAATCGTAGCTTGTCTGTCAACGAGTCGAAGAAAGGAAGAACACGAACACAGAGTGTTGAATCGGTTTCATGGTCTCAACTGGTGTCGGCTGGATCAGGGGCGGTACGGAGGCAAGTCTGGGGGAAGCTCATGGCTCACCTGTGACTTGGCTGGTAAAGGTATGGTAACAGCTGTAGGAGATGCAGAGAGTGCCATTATTATACTTAAGATAATCAAGAAATATTACAAAGCTGACCATATCAATAGAATCTTCTATTCCGGTTGCTCGCGATTGCCACACGGCTGAAGTTCGGAAGCGTCCGTCAGGCCTTAGCAACCCTTTACTAATGCCACTCTCAGTCTGTATGTCTCTTAATAATGCCATTTTCTCAGGCTTACCGATCGCCTGGAACTTGGAAGACCTAATATTGGAGCAATTTGGAAGAGTCATCTGAATCCAAAAAAGACTACCTTAGAAGCTATCATAATTTTTTCAAAGACCAGCAGCTGCCACGTCTTGACATGGCCAATTCTTGTGTAATATGGCTACGGCAGGGCCCTCATTAGGCTCTGCCTTAGGTGGTTTTAGGCGCCATTAGAGTTAATTACTCAGCTTCTCAATGCAGCATCATTCCGGTGCACTCCTACCCTGTACTAAGTCGAAGCCGTTCATAACATCATCAATCTGTCTGTCTTGTTGCATGAGTCGTTACATCATGTAGATGAGTTGCTTCCATAGGATATATTGGTAGAAGAGGAGGTCATCTGGCCACCTTCCACAACGCGATTGGATCCGTCCAGTTCTCTCACCTGCCATGGACATTATTCCCGCCCGGAACGAATCAATTGTGTTTTTTGCCCGACCATTATTCAGTGTCTACGCTTGGACACACTGGACGCATGCCCGGATATTGGGTGCCTGTGTTGAATAAATCCTTAGCTAGCTGTTAATTATGTCGGCCCTCTTGAGTGAGGAAATTAAGCGAAAGAAATGGGGAGTGTAAGTGCTCGTAGCTAATCGAGATGACCCTGGGTTTGAGCTGAGTCTCTGGTTCAGCTGGAAGCTCAAGCGGCGGGTGTAAACACAAAACACTACCAGGGCGAAGGCTGGCGTTTCATACGTATGTAGATGCTTGTGCCGTTGGCTCGAGGAATGAAAGATGGAAAACTGGGCGAGTGGTGCAGCATCAAAAGGATTCAACAATTACAGACTTAATAATCTGGTACATCTCATTCGTCCATTAATATCCTCACGCCGAGCAACATCGCGAGCGATCCGAAGCCATCTCAGATTTGATAATGGGCTACATTTCATTCGTTGAATAAGATCCTCGAATCAATCGGGCGGGCGAAAGGCAAGCATGTTCACCCGTATTAACGGCCGGAAACCGGCAACGGGGCTTCACGGGCATCTCCATCACCGGGAATATGACGGTTTTCCACATTCAGGGCTGGCAATAAAATAAACTCGCGTTGTCGGATCCGAGCTCGAAATGTGGCGGGGACTGGCACCAGACGGTGCTGCTGTATGGCGTCATGGTCGCCCGTCTGCAAAACTACAGGGCCTGCAATGCGGAACCTGACGAATGACGAGACTGCATGTTGGTGTGCTCGGATTCCGACTCACTCTTCTTTGAGGTTGGCTGGGGCTTTTTGAAGCGAGCCGGGTTCTCCCAGGTCCCCCTGTTCGATCAAGTTGCTCGCTTATGGCCGCCCGCCAACCAGAACTGCCTGTTGAGCAAAGAAACACGAGAAGGAGCCCAGGCAGCGCTGTGGCTGCAGGAGAGCTACCATGAGTGAGTGTAATGGCTGGTAAGCAGACCGAAGTGACGCACCCAGCACAAGAAAGCGTTTCCTTCGCAGGGCAGAAGATGAACCCACAAATGAGATGGAGCAATATGGATTTGAGTTTCGCCATCCCAGACGAATGGCATTCTCAGCCATCCAGATGAAGATGCCGTGGGCCCCGAGAGATCGACACCGGTCGATTAAGCATGGAAGATTCCACGGCACAAGACCCCTGTCATGGCACTTTACACGCGAAACCGCGAACAGCGAAGCCGACCGACAGATTTCCGGAGGGTCGTCCCTCAACACCACATTCCGGTGGGCAATCTCTTCACTGGAGGATTGCGCCAGCCATTGATTGGCCATAACGGCTGCTAACAATCCCGAGCTTCAGCCCCTCTCTACACGGCAGTAGGACTTGGGCACACAAGCTTTTTATTATTGCAGTAACAGCAGGGCCCCAAAGAATTGCAGTAATTTATGGGCGGATAATGAACAAAATAAATTACGTGGTACTGGGTATTAGTAACTACCTAAGAAGCTTCAATATGTCGTAAGGAGGAGGGCCTCATGGCTATTCGTGTGCAATGTCCCTGTGATGCCCTGCTCTGTTCTTCCATGACGACTTCCATGCATTCGTTTCTGATGTAGATCAATCAGCGTGCAGCAAAAGAACAAAGATCATGCACGGAAAAAATATGCCGTTGGGCCCACTGGGCGTCGGTGGGAGTGACGTTCTCCCCAGCAGTACATTGGCTTTGTCTTCTTTTACACCCGCTGACAGTGCCATCTGTCAAGCCGAATCGTCTCCGGGTGGCATTGGGACCGGCACCGGCATCCCAACTGAGTCAATTCTCACCGCAGGGCAACGCGTCCCCCAGAGAACGGTGAGATACTCGCGATTATGTCTCATGCTCCTCATCTAGCGAGAAAAGGAATGGCATCTCTCTCCCCCTACATATAAGCATCTCACTCCCCTCAATTTTGGACGTGGTAGACTGCAGAGCCAGATTAGCTTTGATCTACTTCGACACATTATCACTCTCAATTAACAGGAACGGTTCCCCACATCCCATGTCCATATATGTCTTCATAGCTGCAAACACAAGCACAGAAGCCTAGAAGTATCATGTCGTCATCAAATATTCAATTGCCAATGGTCTCAACGTGGGACTCGAAGCCCTCGCGATCCAAGAAAAGCTCTCCATCATCTACACGGCCCAAGGCATCCTTGCACAGAGTTACAAAACGGACTAATCCTCATGTTGACACTACCATGTCATACAATGACCACCTCGTTCATGCCCACGGCGGCGCTGGCCGTCGAGGTAAACGGGTCTGGAAGGCTTGCGAGCGATGCCGCATGAAGAAGACCAAGGTATGAATTATGCAGCCATTCACATCGACTTTACTTTCCCGTATGCAGTCGACTAATTGTGAGTATCATTAGTGCGATGGTGAATTTCCCTGCCAGCGTTGCAACGATGATGGTTTGATCTGCACTGCGAGTGTCAGAAAGAGACCTGGTTACAAACAGCTGCCAAGCGGGTATGTCATGATCTGCTATTACAATTTTCTTACGGTGCTGCACCGAGTTTGTCCTAGTTTATTAACGGCAATGAGTAGCTACGCCGAGGTACTGGAGAACACCCAATTGGTTCTTGTCGCGACGATCCGCAAGCTTTACGAAATGGTTCGTAATCATGATGAGTGGCATCTTGGGGAACCCCGTTGCAACGACCGTGGACAAGCCATCATCCACAATATTGCCCAGAAGCTGGCCTGTATTCGTTCCAATGGAGATATCGATCTTCCCGTCCAGTCTGTGTTCCCTGAAGACATGGAGGGCATGAAGCATCTTGCCAATATCCTCAGGAAGCAACAGGCGGGTTTAGAGGCTGAGGACGGCTCCAATCAGAGCAGTGACGGGTTCAGTAGCTGCAGTACAGAGGCCATGTCCCCTGAATACCACTCTGATTTGGACCACGAGTTGTGCGTTATGGCCCCTGAGAGCCAGGACAGCCCTCTACAGAGGTCCTACACCCCAGAGAACATTGGAACTGCCAGCAACCAGCTCGCCCTCGCGGAGAATTCCGATCTCGGAAATTATCAAATTTACCCATCATCACAGCTCGATGAGTTCTCTTATGCGTTGGAGACGTCAATGTTCCAGCCTTGCTACAATATTGAGAGCAGCAGAAGCCCACCACAGGCTCAGTTTAACACAACAGCCGTTAGTACTGAGCCATTTGGACCCAATACCGAGTTTGAGCCTATTATGGCGCAGACGACGTCTGAAAAAGACTCCCGGGACCTTTTCATGCCTTTAAATATCCACTTATCTTGGGAGTATTCCAAGCCAAGAGCTGTAGACGACTCAATGCTGAGTCGCTTCATCAAGCAAGAGACGCTCTCAGCTCATTCTGAGGCAACTAGTCAGCTTGAAGAACCAGTGGAATATTCTGCATATGTAGGAGGCTTCTAAAGAGTTGTATGGTTCTATGGTCGAACAAATACAAGAAAAAGCCCAGACACCGCATTTCCTTTATACCGATGAATATAGATAGAATATAATAGAATACTGCAGAATAGACGGATTACATTGAATTTATCAGAGTGAATCGAATTTTCAGTTTCAGGTCATGCAAGACTCATCAAGAGTGTAATTCCCTATTAGATGAGACTGGCTGCATTGGGGTGGTAAACCGCAACTGCATCAACGACAATAATTCCAAGTCGAAACCTTGCCTCATTTCATGAGATTATCCAAGCTTTACATTATTCTTAGTATTTTTGCATTTTTTCACCAACACTTCGATCTAGAATCCAGCGGTGGCGGTTCTCATGCGTAGTACGTTGCACTCGGCCCATATTACAAATGCTGATCCATGCAGGTCGACGGATTACCTATCAGTCCACCTTGCATTTGGAACCACGACGAAGCACAGCGTGACATGGAATTGCACGTGTGGAAACTAGTATCAGGATGTTGTCCAACACCAAGTGGGTGACGTTGAAATCGAGAAAGTCAAATAGTAAGCTGCTTATTCTCGAGCCTGCGACTGGTATGATCAGATTATTAACTGTTAATAATACATAAGTAAGAGATAACATACTGTATATTGTTACGCTATTTTGTTTTATACTCCTGAATTTCTCTCTTAATTGTAGAACGCAGTCTGTTCATAACTACTCTCTCATCAGATGTCTCATTTCTCCTGCTACCACCTCTGACGCATGAATCTTGAATTCCAAATCAATATCAGACTACGGAACCCTTCCGTCTTGTAGCTCCATCCATGACTCGCTTCGCTAGAGCCTGAACACACCCCGGCATTCGTCACCCAGCAAAAGCAAAAGAAACGCCCCTGAATTAGCGGCGGCCGCCTGGCGTCGGTCTGTCACTTTAGCGTGGCTGATCATTAGCAAGGGCTAAAAGCTGTGCTAGGCAGACGTTGGTGCAGGGGCTCAGGCTGGGGGTAGCTCTACTCTTCTCTCCACTTCAATGATGGGTGTATGCAAAGGGACTCTGACCGCTACGGGTGACGTTAGATATTTCAAGATGGCTTATTTGGATATGGTGATGGAGTTTAGCATCAAGATTCACTAATAAAGCGGGGTTTGGGGATATCTAGGCCTTCATAGAAGCACCAAATTGGGGGCTTTGTATTTAAGATGACTGGCTGAGATCTATGGTTATAGCATTGGCAAAATCTGTGCCCAAGAATCGACCCAAAAATGTAAGGAGAGCGTAGTATCATAGCTTGTGTCAAAAAGGAGCCCATCTTCCGTAAGATCACCCGACTTGCACACCACAGAGCAACCTCATCTAGTGGGTTCGGCGGGGTGCCCTGTGATACTGGTTTGGCCACTTCACTGGCACACCCAGCTCCTGCGCCGAGTGCAACACAAAGTGAGGATCACGGAGAAACTGCCGAGCAACAATAACCAGGTCTGCCTTGGGAACCCCCTTCTCCTCGGATGCCACGGCCATGTCACCCCCTTCCTGGCACAGCTCTCGAGCCATCTCCGCCTCGCTGATGAACCCTACGGCGCCAATGAGCAGCTTGAGGCCCTCGTCCTGGACGACCTTGCGGATCTTCCCCGCCAAGTCCGCCTGGTAGTACTTGGAGATCTCGATCTTCTGCCTCGAGTCGTTGCCGCCGCTGCTCACGTCGAGGAGGTCGACGCCGAGGCTGGGGAGGATGCGGGCGAGGCGGATGCTCTCCTCGATGTCCCAGGTCGGCTTTCCATCCCATTCCATCCATTCTGTGGCGGATATACGTACCCAGAGGGGCATTGAGTCGGGGATTGCGGCGCGAATGGCGGAGATTACCTCTCGCAGCAGGCGGGTGCGGTTATCGAAGTTGCCACCATAATCATCTGTTCGTGTCTGGGAATCGGGTCAGCAAAGGGGGTGTGCCCACCAAGCGAGGGATATGTATGCATCTGGACGCGTTGGAGCGTGACTCGAAGATGTAACCACGTACGTTGGAAAGAGGGGATAGAAACTGGTTCAGGAGATAGCCGTGCGCAGCGTGAAGCTCGATTGTGTCAAACCCAGCCGTCACGGCCCGCCTGGCGGCATCAGCGAATGCCTGGACCACACTCTGTATCTCTGCCACGGAGAGCTCTCGCGGTGTAGCGTAGTTGGACGCGAACGGGATCGCGCTCGCGCTGACGGTGTCATCGGGCCATCCCCCAAACTCGCTCGTGGCGAGGGCCTTGCCGTGGCCCTCGCTGATCCACGGGGCCAGAGTGCTAGCCTTCCGACCGGCGTGGCTCAGCTGGATGCCGGCCTTGGTCCCCTGGCTGTGAATGAACTCGACGATGCGCTTCAAGGGGGCGACGTGCTCGTCGGACCACAGCCCGGAGTCGTGGGGGCTGATGCGGCCACGAGCCTCGACGGCGGTAGCCTCGACGATGGTGAGGGCGGCGCCGGCCTTGGCGAACTGGCCCAGGTGGACGAGATGGTAGTCAGAGAGGATGCCATCTTGGGCGCTGTACTGGCACATGGGCGAGACGACGAAGCGGTTGTGCAGTGTCGTGCCCCGGATCTGCAGGGGCTGGAAGAGAGTGGGTGCTGACGATGGGTCCAGCGCACTGCCAGCCGGGGGGTTCTGGGCTGGAGTGTAGTACGGCAGGCCAGGGGCGGCGGGATTACTCAATGGCGAGCTACCCATCTTGGAGGGATGAAACGGGCCTCGTGGCTTAGAGGGGGAGTGTGTGTGTCGGGAAGATTAGGGCTTAGTGTAAGGGGATGCAAGGCTTGAAACTCAGGCCGAGAGTGCTTGGTGAAGTGCCGAGACGGGATCAAGACTCTCTCTACAGTGCCGTTGACAGCTGTTTTATGTCGTCTTGGGCATCCGGAGCTTACGGCGTCGGTATGCATCAGATGTAACTGTATTGTATCATCGCCGGAGGAGATCTCTCACATAAGGGATTTGTTATCAAGACCTTCTGCGTTCTTCTCCCGGACTCTCGGCATCTCTCAAATGGCACATCACATCTGCAACAGCCGTGCGTTATCACGAATATGAGGCAAAGGTGTTGTGCCATGTCATATCATGCAACGTTCGGTAAAATGAGCGGTTTGGGACTAGGAGCGGGCCGGGATATGGGAGGCGCTGCATTGCATCAGATGCCGTCCCAGTTGTCTCGATATCACTTGCCGGTAGTATTTTCTACAGTAATCTTGATTACTGTCGTACCGCTAGAGAGGTTTGAGGGGTGTTTGTCATTGTTAGAAATAATCCGTCGGGTGATGGCAGTCTCGGGTGTGCGATGACGTTGGACTCGCTCGCTTCTCGCCCCATTCTCGGGTTGTTGCTGGCACCATCTCGGCGTCTGCCACGGCGTAAGAAAGGCGGCGACATTTCCAAAGCAAGTTAATAGATGCTCGAGAGGTGTAGCATCAAACTCTTTTACCTATTCAGTGTTCCTCCGCCCATCCCGGACCGTGGCCTGTGCAGCGGCCGCCTTACAGTCACCTGGCAAACTGGGTAGGGGTAAAATGCCCACTCCGCGGCAAGGTCGAATGCAGTAGGGCTTAGGGTATTCGCCTCTGGCACAGAGCGAGACACGCAGTGGCCTCCGCCCTTTGTTCGGAGTGCCGGGAGACGGGCGTGGGTAGGGTAGCACGTAAGGTACCGGCGGGCAGGGCAGGGGGCGATCGGCTGGTGAACCTAGACTCGCAGGCCAGTGATGTGATCCGCTTTCGCCGATCTATCATCTGATGATGTTCGCATTTATCAATCGTTATGTGCGGATACTATGGGCAAAGAAAGGATCGGAGTCTAGTCCTAATGAGGGCGTCTCCTCTATAAAAAGACCCAGCAGGCAGGAGAAGGACACGGAAAACAAGCGATCAGGGCTCGTGTCGTCCTCGGCGAGCCTCCCATGGCATGGGTGCACGTCCGGAATCGCCGTGACATGTGTGGGCGGTGGGATTGGATGCAACGGCGGGTGATGGAGCTGCATCCTCTCCCCTCTCCTCCGCATGGTTGAGCCAGCCATCAATCCATCAATCAATCCAGTCACATATCAGATGCCAATATCACACTCCCCTCCCCTCATCGACGCTGGTTCTACGGCGTTGCCGCTGCAATGCATCGCCAGGTTAAGCGAAGCGTGGCGGGTTCGACTTACCCCTTCCGTCGAATTTTCCTCATCCGTCACTTGATCCGGCCGCCTTATTGCTTTTCCCAACGGCCTGATCTAAGTGGGCGGCAGACAAAAGTACTAAAAAGAAACAAGAGCCGAGCTAATGGGAGAAAAGAGGAGGCTGAAGGGGGCGGATGGCTCAGTGCGGGTGACACTAGGTGATGTGCTCTTACGTATGTCGCCAATTTCAATGAGAACCCAACCAGAACGTCGGGTAACGCTGTCATTTGTTGGCCCAGGCAAGCTCCCTGGTCTCTCGAGCTTCCATCCTTGATTCCTGTCTGTAGCCCCCACTTGACGGAACGTCCCATGCATCCTTGACCCAGAATGCCCCAAGCCCAAATGATCTAATAAGAGCTGTAGACGGTACGGCGGGCTGGAGCCTCTCATTCGTCTGAGGGCGGCCGCGCAGAAGAAGAGGGTGCGGCTACGAGTGGCGGGTATCTGCAACGCATGTTGCGGCTCCGTGTCGCCAATGGCCCTCCATCTCAATACGAGAAGGCCTTGGTTGCTTCAAGGAAGGAGCAAGGACGCGGTGAGGACCGAAACCCGCGATAGACAATACGAGGTAGCATCTTTGGCAGCCAAGACGCACGAGAGCTGCAGGGCCAGTGCCGAGCTGTCGGTGTAAGTGCCAGCACGCGAGATCCTCAAAGCGCTTAGCGGCGTCAGAGGTGAAGCCTGCGCCTCTTGATTGTTAATTGACGTCCGTGGAAACACGCGACTGACAAAGGCTGGAAATGAAACGGCCTTGATTACTTCATCCTCGCGCAGCAGATCCGAAACATTCCACCAGGGCTGAGTCGATGGAAACAGCGCGCC